GCCCCCCAGGTTCCCCAACACCCCCAGAGACTGGAAGAACAACCCGGCCCTCAAGCAGCTCCACTTCGGAACCCCCCAGGCCCCCCGAGCCTTCTCAGGGACCCTCCACGACCAGCTCTGGGGGGAGCACAGGCCCGCACACCCCCTCAGGCACCTCTACTCCGGAACCCCCCAGTGTGTGTTGGGGGGGAGGGGTCCTGCCACAGATCCGGGGCGCGGGGGCGGGCGAGGTAGCGTTCTCCGTGGTCATTGGGGTGCTCGGGAGAGGGATGAGGGATCTCCCAGCTGCGGGAACTGGACGCCACGGAGACAAGGGAGGTGACGCGAGATGGGGGAGTCGGGGGGTCCCTGTAGTGTGAGACCCTGGAGGTTTAGGCCAGGCAGTAACCTGACATCTGCAGGCGCCCTCCTGGTCCCCAGCCCTTTGGGCGCGGCGTGGGGGTGAGAAGCAGAGGAGCGCGATCAAGGTGGGCTTGAGTAGGTACGGAGCAGAGTGGGCGTTTGGAGGTTCTTCTGAGAGAAGGACTGGTCTGTGGACAGGTGGGTGGAGCTGGGAAGTGCTGGAGTGGTTGCTGTCTCCCTCAGGGATGCTGGTGGCATCAGTGAGGGTAGCGAGTAGTTTTGTAACAAATCCAAGGAGGGTTTACTTAATCCAGAGTGCAAGGTCCTCTGCGTTTAAACCTTGACAAATCTTTGATGTTTAGTAAGCTCTCATATATTGGTAAACAGGATAGGTAAGAAAAAATCTGAACAACGCAGAACAGCAAAAGAATGAAAGTAAGAATCATCAGCGAGCATTTGAGATCTTGCTGCCTGGCATGTGTCATCAGCTTGGCTCAAATAAACTTTTTTTTTTTTAAGGTAAGACTCATCAGAGTTTCTACAACAAAAAATAAACCCTTAAAATTTTGGAAAACATCTCTCCATATTCACATGTAGAGTTGTGTACATGTTTTTACTTAAATGAGATACTATGTAAATTACCTTAGAGACAGTTTAGCATAAGAAAGCTTCATACTATTCCCCTGCATACATGTGCCACAGACTAGTTCCCTACTGATAGGCTTAAATTTGCAATGTTCCCTTGTCATAAACAGTGCTTCCAAGATCGCCTGTGTGCATTTCATAGGAATTTAGGAGACATACAAGCACCTCTTAGAACTTCTGAGATTATCTTCTTAGTGTGTACTTCCCAAAGAGGGAGTACGGGTAGTAGGATAGCACACTGATAACACCTGAGCTACCCATTGCCCGGCTGTTGGAATTTGCACCCCCAGGAAGGCTTCATGAGAAGGCCTCCTTTCTCACATCCTCCCGGACAGGGGGATCAGCCAGTCCTCTTCTCTCTCCTGTAAACCTCAATGCCCAAGACTCCGGATTTGGAGTGATCAGGGCAGGCGCCGTGTATCTGCGGAGAGGTCCTGGACATGCTGCTTCACCTGCCCAAGTATTAGTGGGAAGTACTGTCCCGTAGGGTCATTTTGGGAGTTAAATAAGATGATACCTCTAAATGGTGGGTGTTTAATTATGCTACATGGCTATTTTTTCTTAATTTTTTTATTGATTTTGAGAGAGAGAGAGAAAGAGACAGAGAGAGAGAGAGAGAGAGAGAGAGAGAGAGAGAGATGGAAACAAGAATCAGTGGTTTCCTGTATGCACCCCGATTGGAATCATACCTACAACCTGGATATGTGTCCAGACCAGGAACTGAACGTGAAGCATTTTGGTGTAAAGGACTACTCTCCAACCGACTGAGCCACACCGGCGCTATGTGCTGGTTCATTCTTTGAAAAGGCCAGACTTTTGTTCCTTCACTTATTTTTTTTTCCATTATACCCAGTATGACAGTGAACAATCTCATATGCGTTTCTTTGGACTCAGATAAGTTTGAAAATTTTCCTAAGAAATACTAGTATATCCAGAAGCAATGTTGCTGGGCAGTGGGCTTTGAGATTTGCAGGTTTTGCTTTTTTAGATTCGAAGTTTTACTAGATACTATCCAGTTATTTCCTGGAATGGTTTTACCTATTTACACACCAGAAAAGTCACAAAATATAAAATACAAATGCCCAGTACGCATTATCACAAAATAGCTGCCTTTTGTGGACCAGGCTATCTCACTTAACCCAGTACCTGCTAGATTGTCTCTATTGTGAATGATCCATCTTTTAAAATGTGTGCCATGCTGGGTGAGAAACAGCATCTTAGCTTAATTTGCATATGCCTGATAACTAGTAAGGATGCACATTTCAGATATAGTTATTGGAAATTTGGATTTTTTTTACTTGTTTATCCTTAATCTTTGCCCTCTTTTTCTGTTGTTATTTTTCTTATTGACTTCTGGGTTTTATTAATTTAATCTGGGTAGATTTCTGTTTAATATATTGCAAAATATTTTCTATGAAGATGGTTGACAGTTAGGTCTTTGATTTCACTATTTCATTCTCATAGCTTTAATTTCCAGCTTATCTAGGTCAATAAATGGACTATCCCATAGTTGTCTCCAAGAGTTACTATAATTGTGATTGGATTTATATGTAAGAATAGTTGTGTACAAGACAAGTGTGGTCTTAACTCTCTGATCCCCACAATTTTATCTTTCCTGAACTAGACATTAGGTTATAGTGGGTGTAAATAAGGCCAAAGTCAAGTCTATGTGGGTAAAAACCAAAGCTCTCCCAGCCTTGGTAAATAGAAGTCAGGATTTCAGACTGGTTGAGGAGGTGGATGGTCCTAGCGGCTAGGACCTAGCCCATCAGGTTTCCTGATGGGATAATAATGGATCCAGTTTTTAGTGTCTTGGGAGAGTGAGTGAGACTAACTAATGAATTTGAATGTTTACTACTCAATGTTTATGTGTTTGCTTTCTGTGTTTTGATAATTGGATTTTCCAGAACAGAAAACAAGCCACAAGAAAAACAGGATGCCATACACCTGTGTTATTGCTTCAAAGACTTTTGGGCCATGATTAACTTTAAGGGTGCCAACAAGGCATGTCTGTTTAATAGCTCTTTCTAAAATGATAGGATGATTTTGGGGCAGGAGGGAGCTACACTAGAAACTTAAAATGAAGTAGCTTTTTATATTGTTTGGTAAAAAGTTCACAATTTCCAGTGTCCTGGTAGTAATATATTCGCAATAATAAATCAGTTGTTTTTGTAGAACTTTGGCCATTGTAGCCCCCTGCATGTTGGAGCTGTGGGAGTAAATATTTCCTAGTGGCATTTCCCTGGGCAGATAAAAAGATTGCTATTGAGAAGCCAAATCGGTGCTCCTGATTTGGGGCAAGTATGTGACAAAACAGGTGATATTGTCCCCTCTTACAGGAAACCAAACACAGCCTTCCAGGCAGGAGCAGGTAGATGGAGGGTAAACACGTTTTGATGCATCATTCCTTTGGCCACAGGCCTCCTGCATGTGGGACTATAAATAAATCATCATTTCGCAGAGTACCAGGGGTGCAAGCCAAGTACATTATTTTGCCTTTGACCCTGGCGGTGCTTTTTTTGGTTAATACTTCACCATCTAGTTGGTGGATTTTTAAATGCTTGCCAACTTTAACACTGTTAATTTATGCAATATTTCATGAAGTCTACCTAATGCTAACGAGTTTACAAAATTCAGACCGTAGTTCTAAATCAGAGTATTCAAGTAATAACAGAAGATAAATAAAAAAAGAGAAATGCTCATATATGTATTTTTTCCATTCAACATTGAACTCTAAATATTGAGTCATAATAATTTCACATTTTCCAGCTCAGTGCCTGCTGCCACTATCAGGTTTTGAATTAATAATATATAATTTCCCCATTTCTTTCCTTGATGATAAGTGGTTTTAATGACGCAGGGAAGAATATTTGTATAATAGTTTGATCAGTTATAGGTGTAATGTGGGTTTACATTCTATCAGAATTAGAAATACTGTTTTCCCATAATGTATGATCTTTATGACAGAATGGGAAATTAAAAACCAGTACTTAATTTTGTTTTTGCATCTAGAAGAAAATGCTATTTTCTGTTTGATATACTGATGCAAAATATGAGAAGTTTGGCTTTTATTCAGTGTGGCTGAAATTAGAAGGGCCATCACTGGAAAAGGTGAAATGGGCAAGTTGTTGGTCTTAAGATTGGCTTAAGAAATATCTGTTGCCTGGCCAGCATGGCTCAGTGAGGGTCAACCTATGAATCAGGAGGTGACAGTTCGATTCCTGGTCAGGACATGTGTCCACGTTGCAGCTCGATCCCCAATGTAGGGCGTGCAGGAGGCAGCTGAATCAATGATTCTCTCTCATCTTTGATGTTTCTATCTCTCTCTCTCCCTCTTTCTTCCTCTCTGAAATCAATAAAAAAATTTTTTTTGATAAGAATTTTAAAAAATAAAAAATAAATATTTTTTGATTCCTGTTAACCAGATACTTCTTGAGCCCACCAGGGAAGGTGGGTTGGCAGATGGATAAACAAACTGTCTAGGTCATGGAAACACATGTCTCTCAATCATGAGAAGAGAAAGCCAGTCTACCTACTGGACTTACAGTA